TACTATAGTCAGTGGATACTACTATAGAGTCAGCAGATACTACTATAGAGTTAGTTGTTACTACTATAGAGCCGGTAGATACTACTGTAGGCCCAGTAAATACTACTACGGTCAGTCGTTACTGCTACAATCAGTAAATACTACTAAACAGTCAGTATCTACTACTGGCTCAGTAGATGCTACTGGACAGTTAGTAGATACAACTACAGAGTTAAGAGACATTACTTTGTTGTATGTAGGCTGTGTAGGTATATTTACCTACGTGGGGGTAAATATATTTTTTGAGGGGGGGGGGGGGGTCGACAATTTTCGGTAACCTTTTAGATCAACCATTTACCCCTCACTTTCTATAACATTTTGGACTTCTGCTGTGGTTCTTCCAACCTGATGAAGATTGCTTGTGTTGCGATCGAAACGTCGTGATTTATTTTATTTTACTTCTACCTACGTGACTTTACCGAAAGAACCAAAGATTATGGATTCCTGCAGTCACGAAAGCTTCAAATCAAGATTCTGCAAGCCTCTTGTAATTTTGTTAGTGGAGAAATGGACTAACGGCCCAGCGGTCTTTCACAATAGCTTAGTATCAGTGTTACGGCGTAATGATGACACGAAGGCAAATCTTTGTAAGGGCTTTCGCCAACAGTTTATTCGGAGGCTTATGCCAGTAACTGATGTAGGAATATTTCACTTGTCCCCAGGGGGTAGGGGTACTGGGGATCCCCTAGCACACCCACAGGCTACCCTAGCCCGGTGCTAATTTCCCCCTGCCCCGGGGTCCCGACTTCCACCCTTCACGTTTCCAGACTCTCCAGACGACCTTGAACACGTGACGGGTTCCAGCTTAAATACTCCAGGGGGACATGACGTCACCATCCCGCCCCCTGTGCATGGCGTCACCGTACGTGATGTCATCGTACCGGAGGGCGAGCGTGACATGACGTCACTAACTACTACTCTACATCTGTGTATGTATATGTGAAGTTTTAAAGAGAAGTTTTGAAATGTATGTTTCGCCCGGGCAACACCGGGTACTTTCGCTAGTATGGAATAATACTGATCGCGAAAGCCTACGTGTTAAACTGAATATAAATAGAGAAAGATGACGTCATCACTGAAAACACCAATTGATTGCTATTATTGCTATCTCAATTAAAAAAGAGGGATGACATTGTCATCCTCTCAGCCGACAAGGGCAATGCCACTGACATCATGGACAAAATAGAATATAACAACAAAATTCAGGAACTACTCAACGATGGCAGCTATACAAAAATAAGAAGAGACCCCACCAACAGCCTCGTCATTAAAACCAACGAAATAATTTCTGATTCAACCGCATTAATTGATCAAACCAAACAGTTCTCGTTGAAACATCCTGCGGCCAGGCCACCAAGATTATATGGCCTTCCAAAGATACATAAAGAAGATACACCCCTTCGTCCCATTGTCTCTACTATCAACTCCCCCACCTACAAACTGGCTCATTTTTTGTCTGAAATCCTGCGGCCTTTCACTGGAAAAAAACACCTCTGCGGTACTAAACTCTACTCACCAGGTATCGACAAACAAGGGTATTTCCCTGTCCCCAGATGACCTGCTTGTCAGTTTTGATGTGGTTTCCTTATTCACCAAAGTTCCTGTACCTGACACCATCGCAATCATTTAAGACTTGGTTCATCAAGGACTGCATACTGATGTACGCCCCCTGGTGAGACACTGCTTAACCAATACATACTTCACTTGGAATGGAATTTTCTACAAACAAACTGAGGGCACCCCAATGGGCTCCCGCCTATCTCTGGTTGTAGCCGACGTTTTCATGGAGACATTTGAGACAAACGTTATCCAGACTGCCACTCTGCGCCCAACCTTATGGAAGAGGTGCGTGGATGACACTTTTGTCATCTGGCCACATGGCCGGCCGGCTCTAGACCAATTCCTCGACCACGTCAATTCCATACACCCAGCCATCAGATTCACCATGGAAGTCGAAAAAGATGGCAAGCTACTCTTTTTGGATGTTCTAATTAAAAGGAGACCTGATGGTTCAGGAAAGCTACCCATACGGATGCTTACCTACAACCGAATTCCCACCACCCAGAAGAATTCCCTCATCAAGACTCTACATCATAGAGCCAAATGCGTCTCCGACCAGGAACACATTGCTAGTGAACTCAAACACGTACACCAAGCTCTCAAGGCTAATGGTTACTCCGACTACACAATCCGCAAAGCCATCACTCCAACCATGAGGAGCCATTCAAAACCATCACCTTACCCTACATTGCGGGTGTCACTAAAAAGATCTCCAAAATCCTGAATAAACACAAGATCCAGGTCCGATTCAACACTACATAAAATCCGTGATCTGGTCCCGTCTGTAAAAGATGCTGTTCCAGACATACAGTACCCGGGCGTCTACAAACTAAGTTGCCTCTGTGGTCGCAGTTACATTGGGGAAACCAAACGACATATCTCGGACCGCATCTGTGAACATAAAGCAGACCTGAAACACGGTAGGACGAACACCTCAGCCGTGGCAGATCACTGTTATAATTCAGTGGGCTCACATGACATTGACTTCTCCAAGACGGAGGTTCTCTGAAAGCCATCCGGCTACCATGAGAGATTCGTTCATGAGGCCATTCACATATACAAACACAGAGACAATTTCAACCGAGAAGATGGATTCTGGCTTAGTAATCATTGGAAAGACGTGATAAAGCATTTCGGTTCTTGATTGATTGTGTTTTACGGTGACTTTCAGACCGCAGTCCATTCGCTGGCACTGCCTCTTAGTACCTTTCACACGACGGTCAATAGTATGGTTTATAGCATATTGTATAATAATAAATAGTATAACAGTGTAATGTTTAATATAATTTATAAGGTAATATATAGTATCGTAATTGTATAGTGAATATACAGCAGTGTGGTATACAGTAGGGTTGGTAGAATAATAGATAATGCAATTTTACAAGTCTAATATTATTAAAGTCTAAAGTATAGGGTAGTGTATAGTAACGCATGGTATAGTTCAATGGTGGGGTTTGTCTATGGCAGTGTATAGTACGGTGTATAGTCATGTAATGTAGAAAAAAGTTTAGTTGGAGGCATATCAATATAATGTTAGAGCTTATATTGGGCTGTGTATACGATATAATACAGTGTAGTTTAGATTAGAAGGTATAATATTGTAATGTATAGTAGTCTAGTTTATAGCCCAGTTGTAACGCAGCACAGGACAGAGTAGCGCATCGTGGCTGTTTCTCTCTCCCCCCCCCTCCTCCGTTCCGAGCATAGATGGACTCGTCCATCTGAACAAAGCTCGCCGCTTTCCATGGTGCTAACGTTGAAAAGAAACCGCTACTTTTTTCGACGTAGAATTGCAATGTATAGTGACGTATTGCTAGTAGCTCAGCTGATTGGAGAGTATATTGAGTTCATTGATAACATTGATGTAGTATATATTTTAGTTTTTTATTAGTTTACTATATGGTATTCAATATATAGTGTAGTGTATACCCAGTTACTTTATGTTAATAGCTCAATTTATTGAAGAAAATATTGAGTACATTTATTATATTGATGTAGTTTATACTTAGTTATAGGTGGGTAGTTGCAGTTCTTTAGCGTTAATATACTAAATGCCTCTGTTGATATGTAAACTCTGACTTTAACATAGCCACTTCCGTGACCAGTTACATGCTAAATCCTCACACTAACATCATGCTAATCTCCCAGCTACATGCTAATTTCTCACTTTAACATCCTGCTAATCTATCACATTAACTACGCTACGTCAATGCTAAATCATTCTGTTGATATGTAAACTCCTTTGTCAAGGCGCTCTGCTACTCCCACCCAGCTTAAAGGACGCTGCCAAGCTTAGCAGTGTTCACTGGAGCGCCGTCTTCCCGGCAGTTGTTTCTTCACCTGAGGACGGATGCTTGTGTTGTGGCCGAAACGTCGTGATAATTTTATTATGTTGAATTTTATTATTTTATTATTTCCATTCTACACGACTTTACCGAAAGAACCAATAAGATTATTGTTGTTATTATTATTGACATGTAGCATTGTCTCTTGTTTTTGTGAGTCGTATTGTCGCTTGACTCTCCCCCCACCCCCACCGCGCCCCCCATATCGTGAAAAGAGCTTCTCAGATCATCGGATTGAGAGAATCTGGAGGGGAAAAAAAACTCTGACCTGGCACCAGTGGTGTGGTGGGAGGGGGGCTCCAGGCGGGGGGGGAGGGGACCGGGTCCACCCGGTTGCCCAGGGCAACGCTTGAGCGGAGGAATCGATTCTTATATTTTTTAATACAATTTGTTTCGATTCTTCGATTATAATTTAGTGATGGGGTCTTTAAATTTGTTGAGAGTCGAGAAAGCGCAACGGGGGGAGACCGCGGACGAGGCGACCAGCACAGCGTGGGAATCGGATTGGGTCGATTCACGCTCAAGGCGAAGGGGAGAATCGATTCTAACCAAGCAAACGAAGTCGATTTCAATTGTACTTTGTACCTCGATTTCAAATGTTCTCTTACATCGATTCCAATTGCACTTTGTACCTCGATTCTAATTATACTCTGTACGTCGATTCCGATTATACTTTTTGCATAGATTCCGATTGTACTTTGTACTTAGATTCCAATAGGACTCTGTACGTCGATTCCAAATTACTCTGTACTTTGTTTCGAATTGTGCATCGATTAGAATTGTATTTGGTACATCGATTCCAATTCTAAACCTTTGCATCGATTCACACTGTCCTCGGTACTTTGATTCCACATCGTCGATTCGAATCACACCCCCCACCCCACCCCCCACACAGCATCACAACCAAACGCTACGAATCGACGCCCGCCACCCCTCTTAATGTTTTGTAAAAGTTCGGAAAGAATCGATTCGCCCCACCCGCATCACACCAACTCAGTATCGATTCCCGTATCGAAACAACGATTAAATCTACACGTAAGGAATCGATTCCCTCCCACCTCCACATTCCTTCGTAACGCCCCGCCCGCTTGGCGCCCCCTCAGCCGCCTCAGAACTCCGACGGCGAGCTGTGGACGGGGAAAGTTCGCGCCTCTCGCTCCCTCACTCGCTCCTTCACTCCCTCGCTCCCTCACTCGCTCGCTCCCACGGGGAAAGTTCGCCTCGCTCGCTCCCTCGCGCCTCTCTCGCCTCAACTCCTTCCTCGTGACAATCCACAGCCTCCATTCAACGTCTCTGTCCATCAGCTAAACCCCCTCCCCTCTCCCCCCCTCGCTCTCTCTCTCGTCTCCGCCTCTCTCCTCAGTCGGCTCCGTCTTTGTCTCTCTCTCGTCCGTCTTTGTCTCTCTCGTCCGTCTTTGTCTCTCTCCGTCTCTCTCCATGGCTCCCGCCGGCGTCTGGATGCGGCTGCTGGCGGTGGCGATGGCGGTGGTCGTGGTGATGGTGAGTTTACAAGTTTACACTTAATTATTCTTATTATTGGTGGTGGTGCTGGTGGTTGTTGGTAGTGTTGGTGCTGGTGGTGGTTGTTGTTTAACAAGTGAAGGAGGGGGGGCACACTCTTCATCTCTGTCTCTCTGTGTGCCTCAGTGTCTCTGTCTCAGTCTCTCTCTCTGTCTCTGTGTCTCTCTCTGTGTCTCTGTCTCTCTCTGTCTCAGTGTCTCTCTGTGTCTCTCTCTCTGTCTCAGTGTCTCTATCTCAGTGTCTCTGTGTCTCTGTCTCAGTGTCTCTGTCTCTCTCTCAGTATCTCTGTGTCTCTCTTTCTCTGTCTCAGTGTCTCTATCTCAGTGTCTCTCTGTCTCAGTGTCTATCTCTGTCTCTCTCTGTCTCAGTGTCTCTGTGTCTCTCTCTCTGTCTCAGTGTCTCTATCTCAGTGTCTCTGTGTCTCTGTCTCAGTGTCTCTCTCTGTCTCTCTCTGTCTCTGTGTCTCTGTGTCTCTCTGTCTCTGTGTCTCTGTGTCTCTCTGTCTCAGTGTCTCTGTCTATGCTTTCCCCTCACGTATTACTTGTACACATTTATAGTATCAGTAGTAATAGTATTACTTGTACACATTTATAGTATCAGTAGTAATAGTATCACTTGTACACATTTATAGTATCAGTAGTATTAGTATTACTTGTAAACATTTATAGTATCAGTAGTAATAGTATTACTTGTACACATTTATAGTATCAGTAGTAATAGTATCACTTGTACATATTTATAGTATCAGTAGTAATAGTATCACTTGTACACATTTATAGTATCAGTAGTAATAGTATTACTTGTACACATTTATAGTATCAGTAGTAATAGTATTACTTGTACACATTTATAGTATCAGTAGTAATAGTATTACTTGTACACATTTATAGTATCAGTAATAGTATTTCTTGTACACATTTATAGTATCAGTAGTAATAGTGTCACTTGTACACATTTATAGTATTAGTGGTAATAGTATTACTTGTACACATTTATAGTATTAGTATTAATAGTATTACTTGTACACATTTATAGTATCAGTAGTAATAGTATTACTTGTACACATTTATAGTATCAGTAGTATTGTTATCACTTGTACACATTTATAGTATCAGTAGTAATAGTATAACTTGTACACATTTATAGTATCAGTAGTAATAGTATTACTTGTACACATTTATAGTATCAGTAGTATTGTTGTCACTTGTACACATTTATAGTATCAGTAGTAATAGTATTACTTGTACACATTTATAGTATCAGTAGTATTGCTATCACTTGTACACATTTATATTATTAGTAGTAATAGTATAAACTTGTACACATTTATAGTATCAATAGTAATAGTATTGTTATCACTTGTACACATTTATAGTATCAATAGTAATAGTATTGTTATTACTTGTACTGTACACATTCATGTATAGTATTAGGAGGGGTGAGCGTGGGTAGGGGAGGGGTGAGCGTGGGGAGGAGGGGTCATCATGACACCTGCTTGGGGTCACGACCCCCCCGTTAGGGAGGCCCTGATTGGCCGGGACGGTGTGGTGTATGTTGAACTTATTTCGCACCGAACGTAGCCGACCGTGCTGATTGGAGGTGCCGACCGGGCTTTTGAGAGTTGCCAAACGTGCTAATGAAAGGCGCCAGCCGTGTTAATCGGAGGTGCGGCACTCTACGAGAGCCAGAGCCAAACTGGTGCCAAGCACGCAACCTCCGCCCGCCGCGCGGCATTGTGGGAGACTCGGGGTTCGTTTTTTCCGACCTGACGGCGTCCCGGCGAAGTTATTTTTATTTCTTTCATTTGCCCTTCCGCGCGTCATCGGAACGGAATCGGACGACGCGCACTGAACCTCGGGTGGGACGGGGAATGGGTTCATGCGGTGATCTCCCACAGGCGGGGGTAAGGGGCTGAGCCTCGCTTTCGCCGATAAGACATCACCAGTGAGTGTGGGTGCCCCCCGCCACACCATTCGAAAACCATTGCGGGGGTTTGTGACAGCAGCACTGTGGAGTTGTCAACGCGAGATGTCAAAGTTGCAACGCGGCTCCCGGTGGCTTCCCAACATGCGGAAGGAACGAGCGCGTTCCAGACGGCCGGGGAAGCTGGGAGTAGCCGGAGAGAACGACGCATCGTGTGAGTGGGGAAGGAGGAGGAGGGGGCAACGCTCGATCCCCATACGGATGGGAATCATCCCGCTTGCTTTACTGCCTTCATCTCACTCGGCTACGAGCCAGACGAGATGGTGACCTAAGGCTAGCGACCTTCACTCATTTCCAGAGGGGGAGCCACTTTCGTCGATAAGACATCACCGGTGTGAGTGAGCTGCGAGTGAGGTTGCTCGCCCACGCCACTTTCGTCGATAAGACATCACCGGTGTGAGTGAGCTGCGAGTGAGGTTGCTCGCCCACGCCACTTTCGTCGATAAGACATCACCGGTGTGAGTGAGTTGCGAGTGAGGTTGCTCGCCACGTCGTTTGAAACCACGGGGGTGAGTTTTTTGTGACAGGAGCACGTTGACAATGGGGCGGCGTGCTTGTTCACCATTTGCGTATTGGCGGAGGGAGGGGGGTGGGTGCCCACGTTGTGAGCCTCGATCACGAAGAACGCCGGCCGGTTAACAGGCGCTCGCTGACGACGCTTTGCCTCCACCGGCCGCCTCAGCGTCACGGCAGGAACCGAGACGGAGGGCGGCGGAGCGGAGGCGAAGGAGTGGGGGCGCGGGGGGTGGGGGGTGGTGGTGGTGGGTGGTCTTTGGTCCCCAGGTGACGTGGAGGGACTGTGCGTGGGTGCTAGCGGGCGTCGCGTCCCCAGGTGATCTCGAGGCCGTCTGTTTGAGGAACTTCCCCCGGCTTTGCGTCGGCGACATCGCGTTGTTCGTTTTAGCGAGCGTGCGGCTCGTGCGGTGCGCGCGACCTTCTACGTTGTAGAAGGTCGCGCGCGCCGCTGGCCGCGCGACCTTCAAGGTGGCTAGGAGACGTTGACGACCTCGCACTGGTCTACAGGAGGTCGTGGGTTCGATCCCGCGACGCCTGTTATTTATTTGGAGTTTGCGTGTCTCTCTCATCGTCATCACGGTGGCTAGGAGATGTTGACTACATCGCCTGGTATACAGGAGATCGTGGGTTCGATCCCGCGACGCCTGTTATTTATTTGGAGTTTGCGTGTCTCTCTCATCGTCATCACGATGGCTAGGAGATGTTGACTACCTCGCCTGGTATACAGGAGGTCGTGGGTTCGATCCCGACGCCTGTTGTTTATTTGGTGTTTGCGTGTCTCTCTCATCATCATCAAGGTGGCTAGGAGATGTTGACTACCTCGCCTGGTCTACAGGAGGTCGTGGGTTCGATCCCGCGACGCCTGTTATTTATTTGGAGTTTGCTTGTCTCTCTCATCGTCATCAAGGTGGCTAGGAGATGTTGACTACCTCGCCTGGTCTACAGGAGGTCGTGGGTTCGATCCCGCGACGTCTGTTATTTATTTGGAGTTTGCGTGTCTCTCTCATCGTCATCACGGTGGCTAGGAGACGTTGACTCCCTCGCACTGGTCTACAGGAGGTCGTGGGTTCGATCCCGCGACGCCTGTTATTTATTTGGAGTTTGCGTGTCTCTCTCATCGTCATCACGGTGGCTAGGAGATGTTGACTACATCGCCTGGTATACAGGAGGTCGTGGGTTCGATCCCGCGACGTCTGTTATTTATTTGGAGTTTGCGTGTCTCTCTCATCGTCATCACGATGGCTAGGAGATGTTGACTACCTCGCCTGGTATACAGGAGGTCGTGGGTTCGATCCCGACGCCTGTTGTTTATTTGGAGTTTGCGTGTCTCTCTCATCATCATCAAGGTGGCTAGGAGATGTTGACTACCTCGCCTGGTCTACAGGAGGTCGTGGGTTCGATCCCGCGACGCCTGTTATTTATTTGGAGTTTGCTTGTCTCATCGTCATCAAGGTGGCTAGGAGATGTTGACTACCTCGCCTGGTATACAGGAGGTCGTGGGTTCGATCCCGCGATGCCTGTTATTTATTTGTTTCGTGTCTCTCTCTCCCCTTGGTCGCGTGGATTTTGCTTCGGTTTTTCTCCTCCACGTTTAGAATCGATGTCACGCCTTCAGAGTATTTTCCCGCCGCTATAAACATTTCCACATGATGATGATAAACCACCTCGTGCGAGCTGTCATTTGTGATGGCCAGGTCCATTCCGAAAAAAGAGCTACATAGCTCAGTGGGGCCTTGCCTGGTAACAATAAACAATAATTTAGTTTCGATTAAGTGGAGTTTGCGTCTCTCTCTCTCTCTCCCCGTGGTCGCGTGGATTTTTTCTGCAGGTCCTCCGGTTTTTCCCCCTCCCGCATTTATAATCGACGCCACGCGTTTAGAGCGTCTGGCTGCCGTACTATTCCTGACGACGACGATGATGATGATGAATGACTTCGTGTGAGCTGCCGTCATTTGTGATGGGCAGGTCGCTTCTTGGAAGAGAGCTACGCAGCAGGCTCAGCGTGGCGCCTTACCCGGTCAAATAACAGTCACACAGTTTGTCGTTTATCCGGACCCCTCAAGAGGTTTCCAGCCACGGGGAGCGAAACGTCAGACATCGTTGCCGAACAATATTGCCGCCGTGGTGGTGCTGGCGGTGGTGGCCGTGCTGATGATGGTGAGGTAAGGTGGTGAGGGAAGGTGGTGAGGGAAGGTGGTGAGGGAAGGTGGTGAGGGAAGGTGGTGAGGGAAGGTGGTGAGGGAAGGTGGTGAGGGAAGGTGGTGAGGGAAGGTGGTGAGGGAAGGTGGTGAGGGAAGGTGGTGAGGGAAGGTGGTGAGGGAAGGTGGTGAGGGAAGGTGGTGAGGGAAGGTGGTGAGGGAAGGTGGTGAGGGAAGGTGGTGAGGGAAGGTGGTGAGGGAAGGTGATGCCCACCTGCTTCACCCCCCTGCCACCTCGCCCCACTCGCCCCCGCTCCACCCCAAGACCAACACAATGGCTCA